GCCAGTGGAAGCATCAGAAGAATCAGTTGAATTATCAGAAGATTGCATTGAAGTCTCGCTGATGTTACTGTACTGGTGCAGTCTCACTGGTGACAACCTGTGGCTGGGTTAAGAGTGTGTTAAGTATGTGTTAATAATGGACTGGGAATAATAGTAGGAGTGTTTTAAGAGTGTGTTAAAATTGAATCAGTAATGATACTGTAGGTTAAAAGTGTGTTAAGATTGTGTTAAAAACATGTTGCTAACTGTAGTAAACTGTGTTAAAGTTGTGTTAATATTGTGTTACATTAGTGGAGGGTGTTGTTACCATTTTATCCCTCAGTGGTATGCTGGCTGCAATGACATATCTGTAGTTCTCATTTTTACGAATAATCTCATTCCCAACGACCAGCTCTAACTTTGAGGAGTCATGAACATTGATTCTGGGGAAGGAGAGGGAGACAGAGAATTAATAAACAAGCATACGTGACTACATGTACCATGTACTGTACATGTACTAGGACTTTAAATATCACAGGCTATAGGCAATGCTTTAGAGTTACGGCCATTTTAAGAAAACGCTAAAATTCTGAAAAATACCCAAGGCTATAGCCCATGGTTTTTTTTTTACAAAAATGGCTCCAAAATCACCCCACATTTTTATTACATTTTCTAATTCTTAATATAAGTAACTATAAAATCACTTACAACACACATTACCAATCATACCAATACACACCATACATTAGTTAATACAATAGTTAATACATCAGTTAATACATTGTTACTGTTCCCATACTTCCTTGCTATCTGCCTCCTCAGTGATGCTATGGTGTCGTGATGGTGGGTCCATATATCAAAGTCCTCAGGTTGTGAGTTTGGAGTCGAACAATATCTGATGGTTAATGAGAGGGGCTTACCCCAATAGGACCTGGTAAGAATAAATAAATAAATAAATAAAAACAAATAAATAAATAAATAAAAAAGTAAATAAATAAATGCATCAATAATATTGTTCCAACTTACTTCCCATGAGGTGGTATCCCTCTCTCCTCCATATGCTCATTGTCACACTCCACAATATACTCCAGCAGTAGCTTCAAACACCTAACAAGCTTATTAACCTACACCAATGGTAATAGTAATTGTATTATTTATTATTATCATTATTATTATTATTATTATTATTATTATTATTTATTATTATTATTAATATTCATTACTTGATCAGAAGCCTCAGTCACTAGTTCATGAGGTTTATATTGGTAGAGTACTTTATTAATGATATCCATTCTCTGCATACACACACTGATGAACTCCTGGTGGATCTATACATGATAGGAGGAATCAATCATTATATTAAAATATGAATTTTTAATAGACCATGATCGGTAAAATTTAATACCGTATAGAAAGAAATTTTTGTGGCCCAGATATTTTACAATTTCAGCCAAAAATCTTTTTCGTGGTTTTTATTTTGATAATTTTCAGCCATGTTAAACCGTATTAAACTAATTTCTGCAGATTGAATAAATTGCAAAATTCACAAAAAATGGATCACAAAAGATTCTACATGTACATGTAGCTATACAGTACATTAGTTAATTTATAGCTGTACAGTTACAATGTACACAATCTACACATCAATCCTTTACCTGTTCCTGAGGTAGTTTGGAGGAGAGGTTAGTGAATATGTCCTTCATGAGTTCAATGGGTTTGGAGGATATGCTGTCATTAACTTGAAGGACGCAGTCCCACAGGTAATCAAGACCTGTACGAACAAAGGTTACCATGACGACAAACACCACGACAACAGTTGCTAGGCAACGGGACTAACCAATCAGATCGATGCTTTCTGTGATAAAAGAGGTTCTGTTCCATTTGGAGAGTCTTGACTGGTTGTGATTGACCATCCTAAAGAACCTGTCGAAGCACCTAAACCCACAGTCAGTGAGTGATGATGGAGTGAGGTTGAGTATATTTTCAGTGAATATCCTCCGAGCTGTCTCTGGCTCTATATCTGGCTCCTCCCACATGGCGAGCTAAAAAGGCATGGCTTAATAACCTGACCACACCCACTGGGCTAACCTTAGCAAACCATTTGAAGCAGGCGTCTTTATCAGATGGAAACACTGCCTTGACTACCATACTGTCCCACACCTGGAGAAGAGTATAATAATGATAATGATAATAATAATAATAATAATAATAATAATAAAAACAAGAACATAAAAAATTTAAAAAAACAAGATGAAGTAGGATTCCGAACGACCAACGAAAATACGAAATGAAAATCCTACTCGTGACGCAAATTCAACTCTACATTGTACTTTTAATATTATTATGTAAGAATTACGGATCACCTTGCAATGTAGAGTAGAATTTGCGTCACGAGTAGGATTTTCATTTCGAATTTTCGTTGGTCGTTCAGAATCCCACTTCATCTTTTTTTATAAAATTTTT